TACTACTAGACTACTACTACTACTACTACTACTACTACTACTACTACTACTACTACTACTACTACTACTACTACTACTACTACTACTACTACTATACTACTATACTACTACTACTACTACTACTACTACTACTACTACTACTACTACTACTATTTCGATTACTACTACAAGTACTACTACTACTATTACTACTTGTAGCAGTACTTGTGGTAGTAGTACTACTACAAGTACTGCTACTACTACAAGTACTACTGCTACTACTAATACTACCACTCTCTCCTCTCTCCTCTTCTCTCTCCTCTGTCCTCTCTCCTCTCCTCTGTCATTTCTCCTCTGTCCTCTCTCCTCTACTCTGTCCTCTCTCCTCTCATCTCCTCTCCTCTCCTCTGTCCACTCTCCTCTCCTCTGTCCTCTCTCCTCTCCTCTGTCCTCTCTCCTCTCCTCTGTCCTCTCTCCTCCTCTGTCCTCTCTCCTCTCCTCTGTCCTCTGTCCTCTCTCCTCTCCTCTCTCCGCTCTCCTCTCCTCTCCTCTGTCCTCTGTCCTCTGTCCTCTCCTCTCTCCTCTCCTGTTCCTACTAAAAACCCGGACTTTTGAAAGTCCGGGTTTCCTCTCTCCTCTCCTCTGTCCTCTGTCCTCTGTCCTCTCCTCTCTCCTCTGTCCTCTGTCCTCTCCTCTCTCCTCTCTCCGCTCTCCTCTCTTCTCCTCTGTCCTCTGTCCTCTCCTCTGTCCTCTGTCCTCTCCTCTCTCCTCTCTCCTGCTGCTACTAAAAACCCGGACTTTTGAAAGTCCGGGTTTTTAATTGCAGAACTTCCCAAAACCCGGACTTTTGAAAGTCCGGGTTTTGATTTTTTGATTTCCGGGTTTTTCCCTCTTTCTCCTCCTCCTCCTCCTTCTCCTCCTCCTCCTCCTCCTCCTCCTCCTCCTCCTCCTCCTCCGCCCCCTGCCCCCCGCGCGCCGGGCGGAGCCTCGTCGCCCGAGGCCTTGTCGCCCCACAGCTGCATGCAGCGCACCGCCCCCAGGGAGGGCAGCTCGTCCGCCACCGCAAAGTTGTAGGACCGGATGGACCTCGATGAGTCCTCGGCTGGCTGCCATGGTGCTTCTTATGAAAGGATAACCCAGGGACGTACCCAACCCTTTGGCAACAGGTGGCATTATCAACTGGCGCTTTCAAAATAGCTGAACATCCGCTGGACGTCCAAGAGGCCCACGAAAGCGACGACCATTGCATTCTCGGCAATCGCCGCGCTTGAGGGTCAAGCGGTGTACTTCGCTCAACGAAGAATCAGCGCCCCGCGCTCTCGAGGGACAGCGCTGCGCACTGCGCTACAGGACGTCGCCGCGCGACCGATCAGCGAACAGCGCTCTGCGCCCGATCCTGGTGTCCACATACTGCCTGCACCAGGGCCGCGCCTTCTTTACCCTCCTCCGCGCTTTCCCATGCCGCGGGAAAACAGCGCCGCGCGCTCGGGCCACAATGACAGCGCTGCGCGCTTCGAGAAGGGGCCGCACCCCGCGCTCGCTTTCGAAATATCAACGCCCCCTCTGGGGAATATGTTTGTGGAGCAGCAGTGTGAAGGGAGCGGCGCTGCGAGGATTCGTAGGACTCGTCCTAGACATCGGATCAGTCGAGCGAGCTGCGCACTCGGCCAGCGGCTCACTGGAGCTGCTCGAAGAGGCGGAGCTCGCGGGCGCCAGTCGCGCGATGGGCGATCTCGGCAGACCCGTCGAATGTCACGTCGCCAGCATTCTCTAGACGCCCAGCTCCTTCCCGATCTGGAAGCACCGTGGCAGGGTCAGCTGCGCATTTGGCAGCTCCCCCCGCAGGGAGCCGCGAGGTCCCGACGCGATCCGCGTGTAACCCCACTCCGCTGGGCCCCCCAAGAGCCCACGAAAGTGCCGACAGTTGCGCAGTTGGCAGATCTCTCCGCAAAGAGCCGCGAGGTCCCGACGCGATCCGCGTGTAACCCCACTCTTCTAGGCCTCCCAGGAGCCCACGAAAGTGCCCACAGTTGTGCAAATCGCAGCTCCCCCCGCAGGGAGCCGCGAGGTCCCGACGAGACCGCGTGTAACCCCACTCCTCTAGGCCTCCCAAGAGCCCACGAAAGTGCCCACAGTTGTGCAGTTCGCAGCTCCCCCCGCAGGGAACCGCGAGGTCCCGACGCGATCCGCGTGTAACCCCACTCCGCTGGGCCTCCCAGGAGCCCACGAAAGTGCCGACAGTTGCGCAGTTGGCAGCTCCCCCCGCAGGGAGCCGCGAGGTCCCGACGCGATCCGCGTGTAACCCCACTCCGCTGGGCCTCCCAGGAGCCCACGAAAGTGCCGACAGTTGCGCAGTTGGCAGCTCCCCCCGCAGGGAGCCGCGAGGTCCCGACGCGATCCGCGTGTAACCCCACTCCGCTGGGCCTCCCAGGAGCCCACGAAAGTGCCGACATTGCGCAGTTGGCAGCTCCCCCCGCAGGGAGCCGCGAGGTCCCGACGCGATCCGCGTGTAACCCCACTCCGCTGGGCCTCCCAGGAGCCCACGAAAGTGCCGACAGTTGCGCAGTTGGCAGCTCCCCCCGCAGGGAGCCGCGAGGTCCCGACGCGATCCGCGTGTAACCCCCACTCCGCTGGGCCTCCCAGGAGCCCACGAAAGTGCCGACAGTTGCGCAGTTGGCAGCTCCCCCCGCAGGGAGCCGCGAGGTCCCGACGCGATCCGCGTGTAACCCCACTCCGCTGGGCCTCCCAGCAGCCCACGAAAGTGCCGACAGTTACGCAGTTTGCAGCACCCCCCGCTGGGCCTCCCAGGAGCCCACGAAAGTGCCGACAGTTGCGCAAGATCGCAGGAGGCGACAGATGCGCATTTCGCAGCCCCCCAGATGGCGCCGCGAGAAAGAGGTAGGAGGCAGGAAGGAAGTGGGCGGGAGGACGGGGCGACCAGAGTGCTCTATTCAAAACGAGTACCCAACCAAGGGAGGGTTTGGAAATAGAGGGCAGAAGATCCAACCCGAGAATAACCACCCCAACACGCGAAGTCGGTTGGTAAACGCACCCAGAGAAGGAATCAAGCACGGCTGTTTATTAAACGCCCAAGGCCGTTTAGTAAACGCCAATTGTCCAGTCCGGGTCGTTTTTCTGACTATCTACCAGACCACCCCAACCCAACCCGAAGACCCGAATTTGACCCGAATTTTTGGTTGGGGGGGTCCGGGTTCCATGTGTTGTTTCAATGTTCCCCGACCCCCCCCACTGAAAATGGAGGGCAAATTGAGGCCGTCGGGTTGGGTTGGGGTGGTTTGGTAGGTGGTGATTTTCCTTTCTTGAAGGAGGCATTGTACTCTAGACTCCTCCTCCTTCTCCTCCTCCTCCTCCTCCGAATTACCTTCCTTCTCCTCTTCCTTCTCCATGCCCCCTCTCCCTCCGGCCCCTGCCCCCACCATCCCCTTCGCCTGCCCCCTAGCCCCTAGCCGTTCCAAGATCTCCTCAATCCTTTGGTCCTCTGTTGCCTCTTTCCTTGCCTTGCGCATGGCCAGGCAGCGGTCTCCCCGATCGCCACGCGGCTGTACCACGGCAAGCGCTGGCCTACCGAGAACGGCACACGGGGCAGCCTGCCATGTCCTTCCTTTCCAGGCACGGGGTTTCTAGAACAGGCATCTGCGTCAGTAACAACGTTCGGAGGTCCGCGAGCATCTCTTGGATCCGCGCTAGACCATGCGAGGGCCGGAGGCGCCGCCAGGAGGCCTGGCGCCGACCCACGAAACTCCGCGCGGGCCTCCGAAAGTTCAGGCCCAGCTTGTGCAGCATGCTCTTCTTCGACCCTATTGGGCTCCTCCTCCACTTCCTCCTCCTCCTCCTCGACAAGCTGCGCGGAGGCCGGGCGTCGGGCGGAGTGACGCAGGTCCCCGACGAGATCCTTCGGCTGAGAGCGGTGAGGACGAGGATGCCCGTCGATCACGATGGGCGTCGGGAGCTGCCGACCAAACGCCCGCTTCCATGTATCGCGCATCCTCCTCTTGATCCTCCTCCTCTTGATCCTCCTCCTCCTCCTCCTCCTCCTCCTCCTCCTCCCTCCTCCTCCTCCTCCTCCTCCTCCTCTTCCTCCTCTCCCCCTGCTTTTGCTCAGCGGCCGCATGTGAGGCACCACGGCGTTCCAGAGCGGCCAGTGGTGCGGGTGCGCTGGGCGGCCTAGTCACCTCATCCTCCTCCTCCTCCTCCTTCCTCCTCCTTCCTCCTCCTTCCTCCTCCTCCATCCCGAGTTCCTTATGAGAACTTCTCCCTGTCGCACCCCGATGCGTGTCGGTAGTGCGAGCCAGGCGTTTCGCCTAAGACTTCCTCACCATGTATGATCCTTAAGTTTTTCACTTGCAACAACTTCACGGGTGAAGGGCGGGTGGTTAGAAACATGTGGCTCTGGCCTGAGCGCCGCGCATATTCGTCGTAAATGTTCGCAAGGGTTTCACGGATGGAGGGCGTGTCGAGTTCAAAATGTGGCCTTAGCGCCGCACACACACACACACACACACACACACACACACACACACACACACACACACACACACACACACACACACACACACACACACACACACTTACACACACACACACATTCGTTATAAAGGTTGCAGGAGCTTCACGGATGCAGGGCAGTACCTGTTCGAAATGTGGCGCCTTACCGCCGCGCGCATTCAGTTTCAAGGATTCTTATGGTGACACCCTAGGCATAAAGTTTTGGCACGATGTGGGAATGTCAAGGCGCACCGGTCCCCCCTTGATTCGAGGTGTTGAAATCCTCATTTGGTACGCTAAAGAATCGTCAGAACTCAACAGTAACGTTGATTCGCGGCGTTGACGTCCCAGCAATGGTGTTCTGACACGGTTCAGGAGTGTCAAACGATTGTCTTCCAACGGGGCACTTCCCTCAGTGAAAATGAAGCCTTGTAGGAACCTGTGAAGAAGGAACTTGGAGGGAGGGTGTTGGCAAATCGTTGGTGAACCCTTGTGTTACACTCCTCCTCCTCCTCGTCCTCCTCGTCCTCCTCCTCCTCCCCGTTCTGGGAGTGGCTTAAAGCATTCTTACACCTGGTCGTCACCAAGTCGTCTGGTCGGCCGTGGGGCGTGGTGTATAGACGCCCCAGCTTCCCAACCTGTGGGGCGCCGGAGCGCCCGTACACCGAACTTCCTCCCCGAGCTCATGGACTTCTTAGCCGACCAATCGACGTGGTGTATGCATCGGGCCCCTTCGACTGCTGTCTGGCCATACAGGCCTCAGACAAAAATAGCGAACACGCATGCCACATTCATCGTTCAACGCCTCCCCCTCCCCCCAATGTTCAAAGTTGGCTGTGGGTCTGATGAGCAGCACTTCGACCACAGTCTCCCCGCGCGTGCCCGCTTTGATTTTTGGGGAGCGGGGGAGTGTGCACTGATTATTTCCCCCTTACTGTAACTCGGGCCTCTGGCGGCCGTTCGGGACCATCCTGGCACCTCTGGAACGCTCTCGGCGAGGCGCAGCTGCTGGAATGCATCCCGAGGCTGGACCACCACGTGCAGCAACCGACGAGACGTTCCGAAGACGTCCAACAACGTCCTGGGGGGCGAGGGCGAGGACCGTGAGCGACGGAAACGGCATCTCGGGGGACACATAAAAACCACACCGCTACTCTCACGGCATTCCGGCCTTTCTCACACGACCTGGCCCTGTGCATGTTCAAGAGGAAGGGGCGACCGAGAAAAACATCGTGTTCTGAGACTTATGCGCACGCTGTCCGGTCAGCGGGAGGTGAGGAGGCCCTTGCGCATCTGCAGCAACACTCAGTGCAACACATCGCAGCCTGGCACGCGACCGTCACTCGGTACTGCGATGTCCTCTGAGGCTGTTTTTTTCTCGTGCTCATGTGCGTTTTTGCACTCAGCTTCTCTCTCTCTCTCTCTCTTTCTCTACTCCCTGAACCTCCCCAGGGGTGCCTTCTGACGAGACTTCCGAAGCGAATCCAGCCGTGGCGACGAAGGGAGGATGGCGACACCGCTGTCTTGTCCGATTCCGAACATCGATAGATTCCGATGCTCCCACACCCTCCCCTGTTCTGAAGGCGGCGTGACGAGGACCCGATGCACCCGATGCATCGAATCTTCCCACACTCGGCTACACGCAAGAGCGACCGTGGGCAAGAGTGACCCTTGGTGAGCGGCCTAAGGGGGTCCTTCGGGGACGCCACCAGGCGCGCAAGCCGCTGCTGTCGCATCGCATTTAGCGATCGGTGGGCCCGATGCGCGAGGCGGGATTTATCCATATCCACCGCCTGGGAACCGACGTCCTGGTGCCGCAGCCAGCGGTGGATGTGGATACATTTTGGCCCCCCGGGGGCCCGAATATATCCACAGCCGCCGCCTGCCGAACTCCCAAAAAATTGATCCTCCAGGCGGTGGTCATGTATAAATTCCCGCCTCGGACGATTTGGGCCGTATCAAGGGTCACTGCGGCGAAAGGTCACTCTTACGTGTCCCCGACATACGCGGCCTCTGGGAGTCCTGACCCTTTCCCTCGGGCCAGCTGTTCATCCTGGGCCGCTCTTGTGAAGGTCCTGGGGCGCAGCGAGAGCACCCCGAGGCCAGAAACCGCGAAAGACGTTCCTCTTGATCTGTCCGGCGCGTTGGAAGTCCAGGCCCTCCCCTGTCCCCAAGGGGCGGTGGGCGAGCGGCGGACCACACCGAGGCCGCGCGGCGCTGCCCCGGAACGAACACGCGACGTGGTGTATACACGAATTCCCGGGGGGGGGCCCAACACATACCGACACCACTGCTCTCCGGACCTCTCACAGGGTGCCTTCTGACCAGGGGTTCGAACAGAATCCAGCCCCTGAATTCCGACGTTGCAGAAAACATACAATGTCGCAGAAAATTGCAACTGGAGCCCTGGATCCTGCCTTTCTGCTCGCATTTCGAGCCAGATCGATCTGTAAGGTGCCGGGGCCCGACATTGAGCGAAAGCTCCCAGCGTGAAAAGATTGCAAAGCGCCAGGATCTCGGGGGCCGCGGCGACGAGGGCCTCCTGGGAGGCCCCAAAAGCCGAAAACGAGGCGAGGACTGCGGTATCGGCACCCCTCCCAGACCCCCGACGTCATAATTTTTCCATGACGCGACACCCAGAGGTCCGGACCCTTTCCCCAGGACCGGCTTCTCATCCCGAGTCGCTCTTCGACGGTCACGAGGCCCGGTCAGGGCCCGCAGGGACCGAGAAGAGCGAAAAACCTGCCGCCGTGATTTGCTCATGACTCGAGGGGGTCTGGACTCCCTGCTCTGAGCTCGATGGCGGCGAAGGCCTCCCCAGCGGCGCGCGGCGCGGTCCCGCAGCGACGCGTGGGTCGCGAGCAGGGCCCGCAGCGCCTCCGAGGGCTCGGCAGCCGGCTCCGCGGGCGCCCTCGCCGCCTCGCCTCGGCGGCGCGGGGGCCGAGCTCCGAGCGGCGCGGCGCGGCGATCCCAGGTGGGCGGCGATCAAGAACAGGAGTGAATTACGCGATCAAGAATAGAGGAAAAAGAACTATGCACATGCACCGATTCTGGCCAGGCCCATCCTGAGCCCAGGATCGGTGCATACGCCCTCCTACCTTGGCCAGGAAGGCATATGCACCGATCCTGGGTCAAGGATGGGCCTTGCCAGGATCGGTGCATGTGCATAGTTCCCTTCGCCCGAAAGAACGGGAGTGAATTACGCGGGGCGACAGATCCCCTCGAGTCGTGACAAAATCATGACGACAGGCGTCTCTCTGTTTTCGGCCTCCGGGGGCCCTCACCAGGCCTCGGGGCTGTCAAATCATGATTCGGGACGAAAAACCGGTCCAGGGGAATGGGTCCGGACCTCTGGGGGTCGGTCGCGTCATGCAAAACATATGACGTCGGGGGTCTAGGAAAACGGGTCTCACAAGAGGCGACGTAGCGACCGTACGCGGTGGCTTTCGCGGGCCGCGAGCGCGGCACGCTGCACGGGAGGCGAGGGCGCTTAACGCGCGACCTTGCGTGTACAACTTACGCGCGAATGTCGGCGCAGTCGACCCGGTTTTCGTACGTCGCTCAGTGATGTCCATCCAACTTGGATCGCCGCGGGGTGTGCTAAGTGGACAAGGGGCTGTGAGTTGATGCTAGGTGGGTGATATCTGGCCGATCCTAGCTTAGAAGTGGGCAGCAAGTGCCCTGAGCGATTTGGGTGGGCTCGAGTACTCCGCTAAATGGGAACAAAAGTCCACTTCGCCTGGATCTGTACCCCCCACGGCCAAGTAGGGAACTTCCAACCCACTTGTACGCTATGCTCGCCATATGTAAGCCTCCTAGGCAGCCACTTCGGTGCCCGGACAAAAAGTGTCCACGCCGACGGCGCGCAGACAATCAGGCATGATGGCAACGACAATTGCAATATACATGTAGCTCGCCCCCCCTCACCCTGCAAACCCAAAAATGAAGTGTCCATATTTTGTCCCCCGCGCGTTGCCTCGCACCCAACCCCGTCCGTCAACTGTGGGTTTGGGGGCGGGGGCTATGGATCTTTGTTCGACGCAGTTCGATGTCGTATCATATTGTCGCGGCGGGTGTGGACACTTTTTGCCCACCCACCACTACGACCCCCGCGGTGATTCAAGAACGTCTCCCTCCGAGGAAGGAAACCTACTGGCACCGCGGCTCCCTGGAGAGCCCTCGCCGCCACAGCTGCTCCTCCCCGGGGCACTACTCTCGGCGGCGAGCGAGGAGTGGAAGCGAGAAGGATGAGGCCTTCTCAGTAGGCGGCGGGACTTCTCAGAAGCCCTCGCAACTTCTGAGATTTTTGGTCTGTCCGTCTTCGGGGAAGGCTTAGAAAAACGATCTGCACTTTCCAGCCAACGACTTTCCCTCGACTCCGGTCCCGCGCCCGTTCTGCGGGCCTGGGCCTGGGGCGAACAGAACAGTCCTCTATCGGGAACGGGTCGGGACCCTGCAGCCGCGCAGTAGTGTTAGGTTGGGCATGTCCCTCTACAGGCGTCCCCAGACCACCTGTTGACTATGATTGTATATTCCTCCTGCAGAGGCGCACGCCTGGCTTAACAGCAGTGATCACATCGTCGGACGTCTGAAATCGAAGAGGCCCTGTCGAAGGGCCTCTTGCTTCCGGAAAGCAGCCTGTTTGCTACCTACTCCTCTGAACTTTATTCCTTCCGGGAAAACTGCTTTAGCAGCCACAGATTTGCCAGCCCTCGCCAAGCTTCCGAGGACGTCTGAAGCCGAAGAGGCCCCGCCGAAAGGCCCAGAGAGGACGAGGAGCGCGTCTAGCAGCAGCCTCGGGCCTCGTGCTCCGAGCGCCCCAAAAAGACCCTCGCCGCCTCCGCGGTCGGAGTGCCCGGGAACTCAGAAGCGGCACGGGCGGCGCTCGGATTAGGTCGGGCACGTCCTCCTACAAGCCGATTTGGGAAGAGACATCAAACATTTTCAAGAAGACTCAAACACTACTGCGAAATACGGAAACAAGTCCCCTGACTATTGTTGGACTATCTTTGAAGATTCCTCCTGTAGAGGGACAGGCCCGACTTAACACTCGGAGATCGTCGATGATATGATCTGTGCGATCCGTTATCGTTGCTCTTCGATCTCGTCTCCTGCTTGGATCACCTCGCGGGTTGCTAAGGGGACATGGGGGCCATGAGTGCATGCAAACGGTGGTCATTCCTGGCCTAGCCTATCATCTAAGTTTGTTGCATGTACCCTAAGTGGTTTAATGGGGGGGTCTATAACTCTGCCCCGTGGGCAGAGTTATAGACCCCCCCATTAAACCACTTAGGGCACACACATAGGGGTGCTAACATTCATCAGCGCATACGCGCCGCACTCCGGTCTCGAGTACGAAGTGCGGCAAGATTTTCACACGAAACTGCAATTTACAATCCGAGCTCCAACCGCGCACAGTGCCACATATATCCTCGGCGACTGCAACGCGCAGCTTCTGCGAGTGGGACCAGGGGAGGACAATACTATCGGGCAGCATGTGTTCACTACTCAACCAAAGGATGCTACTAACGACCCTGCCAGAAATCAGGGGCACACGATATCAAACAGGCAATTGCTGGTGGAAACATGTAGTTCGTGCGACTTGGTTGTAGCAAATACGGTCTTCGGTCACCCAGACTGCATGAAGATCACATGCCGGAACATTGGGATCAACCCCATGGATCCCGACATCTCTATAGCAAGGTTTTCGCAGATCGATCATGTCCTGTGCCACCGCAACATGTTGTCTACGATTCAAGATTGTTGGACTGCGCGGGAAGTGTCTTTGAACACCCGTCATTTTATGACCGTGGCAACAATCAGCATCGAGTTCGAGAAGCAACAGGGGCCTCGTCAACGCCAACGCTACATCGACAATACCTCCCTGAAGGACGAGAGGGTTCAAGCGAAGTTCTTTGGAGAATTGATTGAAACCGCGATGGGACCGCCTTCTACAGAAGACTTGGACACCGCAGCCGAGAATTTACAGCATGCTGTCTCCTGTGCTGCTGCCACACTGCCGGCCCGAGATATTCGAGCCAGACGGCCCTGGACCAGCCAAAGAACATTGGATTTGATTCAGGAGCGGTCGCTTTACCGACAACGCGGAGACCATGACAACGAGCGACGACTACACAAAGAGATACGGAAATCTGGGAATCAAGACCGAGAGACATGGCTAAATAATCTTGCGGCGGGTGGTGGTTGGGACGCAATGAATATATTTGCGGGATCCGTCAAGAGTGCAGCACGCAAGCATACAGCGCCCAGACGGCACTGTATCAGACACTTCTGAAAGACCGGATGTCTTGGCATATTACTTTGAATCAACACAATGGGAATACAAGTTTTCCGATCACCGCCCAGACAACCAAGCGCAACTTGGCGACAATCTTCCAATCGACATGGGGGCATTCACCTTGAACGAGTTCCAGAACGTGATCCGCAAGCTGAAGAAGGGCAAGGCAGCTGGACCTGACGACATTCCCCCTGATGTTTGGAAGGTTTTGGCTTCCGACGAAGCGGCCAGCGACATACTCTTCAACATTTGTCAACAATGCTGGGTGCAAAAAGCAATCCCTGAATCTTGGAAGAGAGCAAACGTTGTACTGCTCTTCAAAATGGTAACGCCGCTTTGCCAGAGAACTATAGACCGATATCGCTATTGCCCGTGGGGTACAAGATCCTGGCATCAATACTACACAGCCGGTTGGTTCAAGGAGGTGCAGAAACACGAATAAAAGACTCGCAAATTGGGTTCCGGCCGCGCCGTGGCACAGGCGACGCTCTCATGCTAACGCGCCGGATGATCGGTGCGGCCCACTTTCACGTCAATGGTGGCCTGGTTTTACTTTTGTAGGATTGGGTTACACGTGATATTCTGTACGCTGATGATACATTGCTGGTGTCTCATCATTGTTCCAACCTGCAGCAAATGCTGGCAACAATAGTGGAGGAAGGTCGGAAGTATGGCCTGGAACTTAATTGGGAAAAGACCGTACAAATACAAATTCCACAGACCGGGCAATAACATCACGAAGTGGTGAGCACATAAAGGCAGCGAGGGACGCTATGTATCTGGGCGGTCTTATTTCGTGCGATGGGAAAGTGGCAACTGAACTGAACAAGCGACTTCGGGAAACGAACCGTATCTTCATGCAATTGCATCGGATATGGAGCCGGACTTCAATTGGAAAGAAACGAAACATCAATATTTATGAAAGTTGTGTCCTGAACGAACTCCTGTACTCTTTAGATTCCGTTTGGCTTCTGAAGGCAGACCGTACGCGTTTAGACGCCTTCCACTGCAAATGTTTAGGTCGTTTGCTGGGAATTCGTCCGTCCTTCTTTTCACGGGTTAGCAATGCAGTTGTGCTTCAAAAAGCATCCGCTCAACCTCTGTCGAATATTTTGCTGGCCAGGCAAGTTGCTTTGTACAATAAAATGATGAATTCGGAATGCCCAGCGCTTGTCAAAGCCGCTGTCTGTAATGACGATGGAACCCCCAAGAGATGGGCTGGGCGCCGAAAGAGGGGCCGCCCCCGCCAGCAGTGGGCGAGTCAGGTATACAAGTTGTCTCAGCATTTATAGCAACGGTGCTCTTTCCCCCTCCGCCCTCCTCTCCCTCCGCTCTGTATTCCGATGTCGTGATGCGCTTTGTTTTTCTGCGTCACAGTCGTGATGCGCTCGGTTGTTTCGCGTCGCAGTCATGAAGCATTTCACTTCTGCTTCACAGTCGAGTCTGTGCGTGCACGCAACCGCTCTGTAATGTCTTTTCAGTCATACTTTTCTGAAGCGTTGCCAATCGCGCACTCTTCTGCCCACGCGTCCCTCCGGACGCTCGGCTCAGTGGTGGTGGTGGTGGTGGTGGGCAGGCCCCACTTAACCCGGGCCTCTTGCACCCGTGAGCCACTCACAGCACCCGTAGCCCACCTATACGCTGGCTTCGGCCCTACGTCGCCAGCCTGCCCCGTCGGCGGTAGAACAACCTCCCCTTAGTGAAACACTCATCTATGGAAACGGCCGAAGACCGAAACCGCTGGACCTGTACCCGCGAAAATGACGGCCGCGACGCCCTCTCGCGAACCGAAAACGGCCACTCCGCTAATCGACACGTCAGGGTAGGAGGTCTGTCAACCTCCGACCCCGGGGGAAGGTGTCGAGACCACCTGGGGGCTGCCGGCCGCGCACTGACCTGCGGGCCGGCCCGCGCAGACCTTGGCACACCTGCCTCTGGTGCCTTGAGGCCGCCTGCGCACTCCTCGTGGCTACGACTCTCTGCGCCCGAGGCCTCCTATCACGTTCGCCTTCCGGGGTGGACGGTTTTACCCGGGGCCGTAGGCAACCCGAGGAGGGGAGGGCGAGGAGGGGGAGGAGGAGGAGTAGGAGGAGGAGGAGGAGGAGGAGGAGGAGGAGGAGGAGGCGGAGGAGGAGGAGGAGGGGGATGAGGGGGAGGAGGAGGAGGAGAAGGAGGAGGAGCAGGACGGGTCGCCTAAGCCCTTCGGAGAAGCCCCCCACTAGGGGGCCGCCGAACCGCAGCTGCGTGCCCTGGTTCTGGTGCGGCCCGCTGGCTAATTACCCGAACGCGCGCTTGCGCTCGCCCTCGCTGCTGGCCAACAACAGATCGAGCGTCGGAGAATTCGGCGGCAACTCATGGGAGCCTCCTGCACCATCTTGTCGGCTCTTCCGAATCGAGGCTCGTCGACGCGAACCGACGCTAAAACGACGCTCACCGACGTTAGTCGACGTAGGATTCGGCGATACCCCATCGACGCCGCCGCCACCGACAACGACGACCCAGATACGCTTTCTAATCGTGTTGTTGTTTTTCGTTCCGGTGAAGTGGTCCAGGTGAAGAGAACGCTTGAGCGGGGTGGGGCACGTCGGGGCGGGAGTGCGCTGCGATCGCCACAGTACATGTGCGCGGGTACCAGCATGCGGGGGGGGGCCCAGGCCCCACCCCCTTCTACGCACAATCGCCACCACTCCCTGAGATCCGAAGTTGCGAACAAAATGCAATACCGCCCAAAATTACGACCAGAACCCTAGACCCCATCTTTCTGCATCATTCTTCTGCTGGATCGATCTGCGAGGGTCTTGGGGCCCCAGAAACCAGGCGAGCACGCCCCGCGTGAACAAATTGCAACGCCAACATCGCAGGGTTACTTGGGTTGGTCCGTGGACGCCCGAAATGGGTACGTACGGAAAAACAGGCTGCACTGCCCAACAACACATGTTGTCCAACACCGACAGCGGCCGCTGCTTGGCAGGCGGCTTTTTGTCTTCAAAGAGCAACGTCCGCGGCGGCGCGAACCACGCGTCCTGTTCAAAATGAAGAAGAACTGCTCTTGGGCATCATACCATTCTTTCCGTACCTATTTCGATCGTCCCAGGGTTTGGCCCGGGTAACAATAGGAGCATGAAGAAGCGAAGCGAACACCACCAGGGACCACCAGCGGGAGGGAGCCAGGGAGGTGTCTCCCTGGTGGTGTGGCCCCCCCCCTCGCTCGAGGCATCCCCTATCCCCGGCTCGGGGAGGCATCGAGGGCCTCCTCGCTGGAGATGGCCACCTGGCGGTGCTGGCGTCGCTTCCCCTTCCCCCCAGAACAACCGATACGCGCCGACCGATCAAACAAAAACCGTCTCCCGGCCGATCCCATCCTGGTCGGCCCAGAAGGAGGGGAGGAGGAGGAGGAGGAGGAGGAGGAGGAGGAGGAGGAGGAGGAGGAGGAGGAGGAGGAGGAGGAGGAGGAGGAGGAGGAGGAGGAGGAGGAGGAGCGGCGGCGCAAGGCTCATCAGCCACCAGAGCCCGGCGGGCCGCCGCGCGCGCACACTGGCCGGGCCCCGGGCCCTCGCCGCCCTCCTGCCCCTCGCCGTCGCCCTCCTTGTCGCCCCCGGGCTCCTGGCCGCTGTGTTTTTTTTTTCCCAGGCGAACAGGGCGCCCCGCGGCCGACCAGAGGTGGAGGAGGACGAGGAGGAGCAGGAGGAGGAGGAGGAGGAGGAGGAGGAGGAAGAGGAGGAGGAGGTGGAGGAGGAGGAGGAGGAGGAGGAGGAGGAGGCGAGGAGGAGGTGGAGGAGGAAGAGGAGGGGGGGGGAGGAGGAGGAGGAGGAGGAGGAGGAGGAGGGCGGAGGAGGAGGAGGAGGAGGAGGAGGAGGAGGAGGAGGAGGAGGAGGAGGAGGATCGAGGAGGAGGAGGAGGAGGAGGCGCACCGAGTCAACCAATTTAGTCTGGCGGCCCTGGCCCGGCCCGCAGCCGCGCCTGGCAGGGAATCTCGTCGCCGCGCCCTCGCGCGGGGGGCAGATCTCCGAGGGCACAGACTCCTCAAGCCGGGCGCCCTGCCCAGAGGTCGGCCTCTCTGGGGGCGCGCCTCAGAGGTCGGCCTCTCTGGGGGCGCGCACAGGGCCAGGGGGCGGACGGAGGGGGGAGGGCTTCTTAGAGGGAGGCGGCTTAAGGCGCCGACCTCACATCTGTAGATCAGGCCCGCGCCTTCTAAGAAGCAGGGGTGCTTCTAAGAAGCCCTCCCCCCTCCCCCCACCCCCCTCTGCGCGTGGCCGAGCCTCTCTGGGGGCCACTGTCAGGCCCCATGGGACCAGCAAAGCTTTTCATGTCTGCAGCGACGAAGCCCGCTCCGACCAGTCCGATCTCCGTTCGAGGCCCGTGCGCGCCGCCGCCCGACCGGGGACAAAAACAGACCGCCCCGAGGCCTTAGAGCCACCCGTCCAAGCCCGACCCCGCGAGAAATTCGCACCAGGGGACGAGCAAAGCCTGGCCCGGGGCGAACGAAAAACGGCCCACGGGAGAGCGGTCCGGACCTCGGGGGCGGCGGGCGGAAGAGATCACCTCGTGCCGGGCGATGGGCCGGGGGATGGGGCAGGACGCAGGATCGGTCCGCATCGACTCGGGACGCTGGGGCCGAGCCGAAGCACGCGTCGGATCGGGCCGCCTCGGCACGGGGCCGAGCTCGAGTCGGCTCGGCCGCGCCAGGACGCACAGCAGCGCCGTTCTGGCATCGGGGCGTGCCGGGTCGTCGGAATATCGGAGTCCAGTCGGATCGGGCCGGCCAGATTAAGATGGCCGGCCCGATCCGAGAATAGGACCAGATTAAGAATAGATTAATCTGGCCAGATGAATTGATTCCTAAATTTTAGCGGGACCAGATTGATCTGGCCGACCCGATCCGAATTTAAAGCAATCTGGTCAGATTAGTCGTAGGACCAATGGGATAGAAGTGGGCCCTGAGCAGCGGCGTGTACGCAGTGGGAGGGCGGTGGGGTCGGCGGGCGCGCGTTCCGGGGCGGCAGCGGCGGCGGAGCTCGGCAGAGGCACGGGAGCGAGGAGACGCGGCGACACCACCGCCAGGGACCAGTCGGCGGCAAGAGAGAGCTAAGGCGACGAAATCTATACATATCCACTGCTCCCTGGCCAGGCCCATCCTCAACCCGGCAGCGGTGTATACGCCACGCCCTCCTGGCTTGGCCAGGAGGGCGCATACACAGCTCCTGGGTTCAAGATGGGCATGGTCAGGGAGCAGTGGATATGTATAGATTTCGTCGCCCGAAGAGTGGGGGAAGCGAGCAGGAGGAGGCCATTCTCCCAAGGTCAGGTCGGGCGTGGCCCCCTACAGGCAGATTTTGGACGAAACATTGAAAACATATTAGATATGCAAACGACACTCTAAAATAGTCGAACAACCGTCCCAAAACAATTGGTTTGGACTATTTTTGAACATCCTCCTGTAGAGGGACAGGCCTGACTTACGACTACTCGGCGGCGAGCGAGTGGGGGAAGCGAGCAGGAGAAGGCCTTCTCCGAAGGCGGCGGGACTTCTCAGAAGCCCTCGCGCCTCCTGAGAAGATGTTTTAAGTCTTCGGGGAATGTTTCGAAAACTTCTCAGAAGATCGGGTGACTTCCGAGCCTTCTGAAAAGGCCCGCCCCTTCTCACTTCCCCCCCTCGCTCGCCTCAGAACTACTGGCGTTAAGTCAGGCGTGTCCTCCTACAAGCGGATTTTGGACGAACAACTGGAAGCCGGCGGTAAACCGTCAACCTTGGTTACCGCCGGGGACTCGTAGAGTTTCCTTGGCATGCGAGCGCGGCAATCTCACCTTCAGCGCGCGAGGGTGTGCGGTGTCATAAAAATGTGCTTGACAGCTCCTTAGCTTGCCCACAGCTCGAATTCAGTTCAGACAAACACACACTGTCGCGGAGCATTCGCGCTAGTTCCCCCCTTCCAGCCGCAGCCGAAACCACGGCCGCAACCGCGGCTAGAGAGGAAAATCCACCGCGAAAAAATCACAATAGTTTCTTCCTTCATCCGCGGCTGCGGCTGCAGCCACAACTTCAGTTTTCGGTTGCTATGGTAGCAGACCGATCTCAGACGTCTCGATACCTCAGCGCTCGTGATATTTTCCTTTCGAACGGTGCTTCCCAGCTCCGTAGCTTGCCTACAGCTCGGATCGATTAGAGAAAACCAACACCGCCTCTAAAACATTGAAGAATGCAAATAGTTGTTTGGTCGCAGCGCGGCTAGCCTACAGCTCGAATTCGGTAGAGAAAAACAAACATAATCTTTCACAAAATATTGCAGAGTTCGAATAGCGTTTCAGTCGCAACTCTGCTAGACCGATCTCAGACGTGTGGATAGTGTAGGCGGAAGTTCCTGTTCAGTTCCTGTTCAACGGTGTGCTCTCCAGCTCCGCAGCTCGCCTGCAGCGTAAATTAAATTAAGAAAGCCAATCTCGCCTCTCAAAACAAATAAAGGTTGAAATGGTTGGTGGTTGCAGCTCTGGTAGCAAACCGATCTGCGGCGTTTATATAATTTAGACTGGCGCGGTTCCGCATTTGCTGTCGATCGGTGTGCACCTGAGCTCCGTAGCTAGCCGGCAGCTCGGATTGAGAAACCAAACATCACCTTTCGAACAATTTATAGTGCGCATCGTTTGTTTCGCGCTCTGGTCGCAGACCGATGTCAGACAACTCCGAACCGTGGGAGCATGTTCCTGATCATTTCTTGTTCAACGTGTGCTTCCCAGCTCCATAGCTTGCCTACAGCTCGAATTGAGTAGAGACGACCAAGACCGTCTTTTAAAACGTTGACGAGTACAAACAGTTTTGTGGTTCCAACTCTGGTAGCAAGCCGACATGAGGCATCTAGACACTGTAGACCAGCGCTTCTGATGATTTTCTTCCAATTGCTGTGCCGAACAGCTCTGCAGCTCATCTAAAGCTCGAAATCAGTTAAGAAAACCGACAGCACCTGCCAAGATGACACTGGACACCCGATCCTGCCCCGATGCTGTTTGACTGTATTATCTATGTGGTTTACTTGAGATCAAGATGGCGAGCGGGAATAATATCAAATATGGGGAAATATTAGAAGTTTAACGAATTTATAAGTTTTGAGCAAACAATTCTTGACCGACCAAAAGTATGCAAAACTTCCGCTGAACTTTTTCGACCCAACTAGCCCGCCAGCGCGTTCGAAATACTCTTAAGCTTCGCCGCTTCGCTCTTAGGGAAGCGCCACCAGTCATTCAAAATAGTCATAACCATTTTGAACAATAGTCGACAAATAATCGAAACATCGTACCCAGACATTTCTTTGACTACTTTTGAACATTCCTCCTGTAGAAAGTAGACAGGCCCGACTTACAACTACTGGCGGGAGGAACTGGGGGAGGGTCCCCCTGGCGTGGTCCCCCCTCTCGCTCGAGACATCCCCTATCCCCAGCTCGGGGAGGCATCGAGGGCCTCCTCGCTGGAGGTGGTCCCCTGGTGTCGCTTCTCCTTCCCCCCATAACGACGGCTACGCGCCAGCCGATCAAACAAAAACCGTCTCCTGGCCGATCCCATCCTGGTCGGCCCAGCGTAGCGGCGGCGCAAGGCTCATCAGCCACCAGAGCCCGGCAGGCCGCCGCGCGCGTACACCGGCCGGGCCCCTCGCCAGAGATGACTCCCCTGGTGGTGGTGGTGGTGTCGCTTCTCCTTCCCCCAAGGTGCACGGGTGACGTCAGCCCAGCGATGCAAGAACAGAGGCACAATTTGAGGCACCTCGAGTGCGCATCGTGCTGGGCTGATTCCGTGGGGTGGGTCTCAAAACGCCAGCGTTGCCAACTGATCGGGAGGCACCTTTCACTTCCGCCTGGTTTCCGCCTGCGGACAGGGACCCTCGTTTCACATCTGCCGGCGCTTCTGCCAGACTTCCGCCGAAGATCGAAACGTCTCGATTCCTTCGAGCCCTATCCCCATGGTGCCGCGTGCTGTTTTCGCAGCGTCGGCCTCCAGAGATCTCAACCACTGCCCCAAGACCAGCGTTTCGACCTGCGTCGTTTTTTGACGATCCCAGGGCAGAAAAGTCGTCTGGGGTCCAGAGGTCGTCTGTCGTGCTTCTTTCACGACGCGAGGGGAACTGAGAGGACGAGGCCAGTCTCTGGAATGCACCAGGTGCCGTCGTGGAGTCGTCCGATGGGCCCCAAATACGTCGGCGTCGGGCCCCCCATCGCGAAACCGCGGATGGGGCCAGCAAGCCCTTATCGGCGACAGTGAATGGGCGATTCGGGGTCGTTGTCTCCCCCCCACCCTGTCTAACCTTGCCCCCTGGCTTTCGGGTGCTCTCTGGCGGCCGTTCGGGACGATCCAGGCACCCCCGGAACGCTCTCGGCGAGGCGGAGCTGCTGGAAGGCATCACGCGGCTGGAAAGCCGCCGAGAACCGACGACAACCTTTGAAAACCTTGAACCTCGAAACTGGCCCGAACGTTGCCTCTGAGAGGCTCTTCCTCTGGGCGCGCATTCACACGGGGGCGGTACATTGGGGGGGGGGGGGGGGAGAAATGGGCCCTTGTCGGGCCCTCAAGGCCCCCTTGCGGGCCCTGCAGGGCCCCTCTGGGGACCCTACAGGGCCTCTCTTCTGCAGCCCCCGCTGCCCCTCCATTAATCGCCCCCCCACTGCGCGGCCCCCCCTGGAACGCGCCAGGGTCGGGGGCGTGCAAACATGGATTACCTGTCCATGGATTTGGCGCACGGTCGCCAAATCCATGGATCGGGGGAGGTGCCCTCCCCGAACTGCGGCCGGTGCCGCCTCGCTTTGCGGCGGAACTCCGCGATTTCCCATGGAAATGGGACCCGTCGCTAATCCACGCCCCCTTGATCCATGTTTGCGATCGCCTGACAGTTGAGCAGGGACCGACCCTCCCGGCATTCCTCTAGGCCTACCACGACGTGTTCCCGGAACAAAAGCAACGCTCTTGGAACACACGCCCGATGCGCCGAAACCAGGAGAGTCCCGGCCAGAAGTGCTCTGGCAACATGCCGCGCAAACCACAGGAGGCTCTCAGGCCACTCTTCGGCGGGCACATCACAGGCGAGCCGGGACGCTTCGCCGCTGCTCGAGACAGCCGTGCCGTCGCGGGGACCCCACGGCCCGGCGCGGCGCGGGTCCTGCGTGCGCGCCGCCTTCTTCTCCGGCTCCCGCGGGTCCTGCGCGGGCGGCCAGGGAGGGCAGCGCACGCGGGCGGGCGCGCACAGAGGGGGCCCGTGTGCGGGGCCCCCTCCCGCTCGGCTGCGCGCAGGAGCGGCCCTGACCTCGGGCTTGTGCTGCTCGGGCATCCAGACAAGCATCGCAACGGTGTCGAACGAGTATCGCCTCCCGCGGCCCCGACACGCGCAAACGCTCCGGTTTCGGTACCTTCTTGGTGCTCGAAGTTCTTCCTGGTGATCGGGGCTAAAGTGGGTCGGAGCATCATAAACCTTGGTCCTGTTGCATCCTCGGAGGGTCTGGCCTGTCCCGTCGCGGCCCTATCCGCGCCGAACCCGCGTCGAATCCCTGTCGGACTCGTCGGATTCGTGTCGAATCCGTGTCGAATCCGCGCCAAATCCGCGTCGAGTCCGCATCGAGCCCGCGTCGGGCCCAAGAGAAGACACCAAGTTTGGGGACAGGCGAGGTCCCCGGAAGATGCAACAGAACCTTGGGTGCGCGGACGAAGGGTGCGCAAGGCGGCCAGATCCAAGCGCGCAAGCAGCCGCTATCGCATTGCGTTCCACGATCGGGGGGATCCCGATGAGCCCGCACCAAAGGTCACTCCGGCGAGGGGTCACTCTTACGTGTAGTCGACCCTCCCCCCTCCTCCGCGCCCTCCTCCTTGTCTCTCCCCCCCCCCTTCCACCCGTGACGCTCCCCCTCCCCCCTTCTGACCTTCTAGAGTGCCAGGAGATGGCCCTCCAGACCGACCGACCTCGCTGGACTGCTTCGAGCCCCCACTTGAGCTAAAACTCAAAGGTCACCGGTCTGCTGCTGCTCGGCATCCGCAGGGGTTGGGCAGCCGCCGCAGACCCCAAGCAGTAAGTCATTGCACGGGGAATGTGCAAGCTCTGTGGTGTAAACTATGCAGTGTAGGCTATGTGCTGTAAGGCATTTGGTGCAAGCTATGTGATGCAAGCAATGTGGTGCAAGCTATGGTGCAAGCTATCTGGTGTAAGCTCTGTGGCGCAAGCTCTGTTGTGCAAGCTGTGTGGTGAGGAGGCCACGAGGCGCACGGGCAGCAACTCGTAAAAGCCTCGCTGGACCAGCCAACGCAACGGGCGTCAACGAGGCGGCAACGGGCGGCAACGTGGCTTGGAGACGCAGGTTGGAAGCCCTAAGTGCAAACACTGATTGGGGAGAGCATGAAAAACCATGCGCTAAAACTAACATCTGACGACGACGAAAAACACGGCGACGATGGCACCTGTAGCCGAGAGCAGGTCCTTGGGCCTCTTCTTCTTGGAGGCGGACATCTGCAGCAGCGTGCCCCTGCGGCCGGGGGGGGGGGAACCGGGAGGCAGAAGAGGGGCACGGCGGGCTCACGCCGCGTCGACGTGAACATTGGATCCTGACACGCCGTACGTGGTCAGGAACTTTTGCTTAGCTCGTCGCGGCAGCGGCCTTGGCCGCACGCTATGCCTCGCAACCGACTAGCGTGTCGCCCCGCTTCGTGGGGGCAGGAGCTAGGCTTGGAAACGGCTCGGGAAGTTGACGCCTGGGGGCCAAGAGGCGGTTAGCGTGCCGTGCCGAAGCGTGGTGGGCCGGAACGGGCGGAACCGCAGGTTCAGCCACCATTTCCGACTTTATCGTTCGACGTTCAGCATGGAGCGATCGGCGCCATCCCACAGCAAAGGTGGTACAAGACTCTGGGCGTTGCTTCGCGTGGGGACGACACTTGGGGGGGAGAAAGGGAAGGTACACTACTCGGGCTCTAGAGGCTCCCTTCTGAGGCCCAGACGGGCCCCTTGATGGGACCCTGAAGGGCCCCTGTTCTGCGGCCCTCGCTGCCCCCCCTATTTACGGCCCCCCCACTACGCGACACCCAAAGCTTGGCCTCGTTCAGGCCGCCGGTGGCAACCTCCCATGCTGGATTGAAGGCGACGTCCGCCTGCATTCAGCCCAGCGACTTAGATGCATCTCTTTACTTTCAAGAGATGGTCGCTCCGCCGTGCGTGCACATCCTTGCTGAATCAACCAAATAAGTGTGCGCGAGGGAATTGCGCCGCTTGCGCGAGACCCAGCCAGCGCAGCTTTCTTCTGTTCACCGCGAAGGGGGCCGTTTATTTCGAGAGGTAATCCTAATGCTGAAGATCTGCGTATTGTGTGTTTGCGTGATGTTCTTTGCTTGCGCAATGTCTTGCGTAGTGCTGAAATAATACGCGTGGTGTTTTTGAGCAGTGTTTCTGTTTGTTGCATCGTGTATTTGGCGTCGTGTTTTACGTTGTGTTTTTGCGTAGTGGTTCTGCGTCGTGCTGTTGAGGAGTGTATTTAAACAATATTTGCGCATCAGGTTTTTTGCGTCGTGGTTTTGCGTGGTGCTTTCGCGTCGTGTTTTCGCGCCCTGTTTTGGCGCTGCGTTTTGGCGCAGAGTTCTCGGCGGTTTTCGAGCAAGGTTTGCGCGCGAGGTCTACTGGCGCCGCGTTTGCGCGCAGCGTTCTTCGGCGCAGAATTGTCACTTGGCGCATCCGTCGCGCGCCGTTTCCGCGAAGTGCATTGTTGTCCCTTTGTTTCCGTAGCGTGTCCGCGAAGCGTTCCTGCTCGCGCAGCGTTTCTGTGCAGCGTTTTGGTTGCGTGAGGCGTTGACTCAGTGTGTTTTGTTCGTCGAATTGGTTTTGTTTGCGTCGCGTTTCTTCTCGTGACATTGTAGCGCGATGTGTTCGTCTATTGGTTTGGCGCGCTGCGTTCGGGTGGCATTCGGTTTGCGCGGCGTTTTGTGCAGCGCGTTTTTTGCGCAGTGTTTTTGCCCAGCGTTTTTGCGCAGTGCGTTCGCGCAGCGTTTTCGCGCACTGTTTTTGCGCCGCGATTCGGCGCGGCGTTTTGGAGCGGGGTTTTCGCGCGGTTTTCGCGCGAGGCTTTCGCGCGAGGTCTTGGCGCGATGCACTTCGGAGCCGCGTTTGCGCGCAGCGCTCCTCGGCGTAGAACTGTCGCGCGGCGCTGTCGTCGCGCGGCGTTTCTGCGAAGCGTGCGTTCCCCTTCCCGTTTCCGCTGCGCTTCTGCGAAGCGCTCTTGTTCGCGCAGCGTTTCTGCGCGGCGCCTCGGCCGCGCAAGGTGCCCCCTCAGCGCGAGGTCGTTCGTCCAATGCGCGCCGTCTGCGTCGCGTTTTTTGTTTCGCAGCGTTTTCGCGCGACGTTTACGTCGACTGCTTCGGCGTGCTGCGTTCGCTCTGCGCTCAGTTGGCGCAGGGGTTCTGCGCGATGTTTCTTTTGCGCGGTGCTTCTGCGCGGCTTTTCCTCGTGGCGCTGAAATAATCAGCGCGACATCGTTTGCGTTGTGTTTCTGTTGCGTAGCGGTTCCAGGTAGCGCGTTCGCGCGAACGTTTTCGCGAAGTGGTTTTGCGCGGCGCTCCCGCGCAAAATTTTCGCGTCGCGTTTCGCGCGGCGCGTTCGCGCAGAGTTGTCGCGCAGCGTTGTTGCGTCGCGCGTTCGCGCCGCGGTTCGTCGCCGCGTTTTCGCGCAGTCGTTTCGCGCGGTTTTCGCGCGGTGTTTTCGCGCGGGGTCTCGTCGGCGCGAAGCGTCTTTGTTCGCGCGGCGTTTCTGCGCGGCGACCTGGTTGCGCGAGGCGTTCCCTCAGTGTGCTGTTTCGTCAAATTTGCGTTGTTGGCGCATCCGTTATATGTGTATGTATGTATATATATACATATATGTATATATACATATATATATATATATGTGTATATACAACTCCTCCAACGTTTGCGCGCGGCGGTTGCGTCTACAGCTTGGGCGTGCTGCGTTCGCGTGATATTCGGTTTGCGCGGGGGTTCTGCCTCGCGGTATTGCGTGGCGTGCGCGCGTAGCGTTTCCGCCTAATGTTTGTGTTTCGGCGCCGCGTGTCTGCGTTGTGTTTTCGCGTAGTGTTTTTGCGTGCTGCAATCCTGCTGTAAGAGTTTGAGAAGTAATCCTGATGCTGAAATAATATGCGTAGTGTTGTTGCGTCGTGTTTTCGCGTAGTGCCTTCTCGCGGTGCTGGCATAATCTGCGCAATGCGGTTGGCGTAGGGTGTTTTTGCATAGTATGCGTGCGTGGTGTTTTCACGTGGGTGTTTTCGCATAGTGCTGTTTTGTCCATTCGTAATGGTTTACGTAATGTTTTGCCTAGTGCGATCGCGTAGCGTTTTCGCGCAGCGTTTTGGCGTCGCGTTTTCGCGTCGCGTTTCGGCGCGGTGTTTTCGCGCGGCTTCCGCGCTGGGTTTTCACGCAGTGTCTTTGCGCGATGTACCTCGGCGCCGCGTTTGCGCGCGGCGTTCTTCGGCGTTGAATTGTCGCGCGGCGCTTTCGTCGCGCGGCGTTTCTGCGAAGTGCCGCAGCGTTTCCGCGAAGCGTTTTTCGCTCGTTCGCGCGGCGTTCCTGCGCCGCGCTTTGGTTGCGCCGCGTGTTTTTTTGTCTTCACGTAACGTTGATGTTCGTTGTCTGCTGCTTTGGCGTGCTGCGTTCGCGTGGCATTCGGTTTGCGCCATGGTTTGCGTTGTGCGTGCGCGTCGAGTTTTTTTTTTTTTTTGCCAGCGCAATCACAATTCCTATTCATGCTACTCCTCTTGCAACTCCTACAACTACTTCTCCTACTACTCCTCCTACTCTTACTGCAGCTCCTATTCCTACTACCCCTCCTAGTCAAACTGTAACTCCTACTCCTGCTGCTCCTCCTACTCCTACTACAACTCCTGCTAAAGCTCCTCCTACTACCCCTTCCTACATTGTTTTCTACTACTCATTCTACTACTACTACTCCTACTACTCCTACTGCTACTCCGACTACTACTCCTACTCCTAGTACGACTATTTCGACTACTTCTTCTTCAACTGCTACTACTACTACTACGACGACGACGGCGACGACGACGACTACTACTACTACTACTATTACTACTACTACTACTACTACTACTATTACTACTACTACTACTACTACTACTACTACTACAACTACTACTACACATACTACTATTACTACTACTACTACTACTACTACTACTACTACTACGACTACTACTACTACTACTACTACTACTACTTCTAGTACTACTACTACTACTACTACTACTACTACTACTACCACTACTACTACTACTACAACTACTACTACTACTACGACTACGACTACGACTACGACGGGGCGACGCGCGCCACATCGCCACGACTCGACCTCGTTGGGGCGAGCGTCCTGCGGCTGCCCCATTACCCTACAATGAGACACGCGCCAAGTGAGGTGCGAGGAAAGGCGGGGCGGGCGCCGCGGATCGACGAAGCTGCAGCGTCGCGGCCTTGGTCCATCCGGACGCGCTTAGCCCAAGACAGCCACAGGGCGAATGGCGCGCGGAGCTAACCCAGCACCGCTCGTCCCAGGCACGACCGCCGCATCGAGACGGGCCAGACCCAACGCAACGCAGGACGTGCAGCACACGGGGCTAACCCAACACCACCCGGCCCCAGAAGCGCGGGAGGCCCTGCGCGACACGGGCCCGCAGCGAGAAACGGGGTAGGGCAAGCCAACGTGGCTGTTCACCCAGTAGGGGCACCGAGGGCTGCGCGGCGACGCCGCGCACGGCCCGCTGCCCGCGGGGCGGCCCTAGCGCTGCGAGGCAGCGAAGGGCGCGCAAGAGAGGCCATAGCGCAGCCAAAAGTTAGAGCGCCCTGGCCACTATTAACGTCGGCGCGGCACTGATGCAGCGCACCGTGTCAGAACAGGCGCGCAACCCTTCGCCCGCCCGCTCACTCGTTCCATCGCTCATTCTGGCCTTGGGGCCCTGGGGCCCTGGAGCCTTCGAGCCGCTCAGCTACTCAACGCGCAAACGCCTCGGATGGGGGCGCGCGGACCTCCCCCGCCACTTGCTGGCCTCCGCCGCGGGCCCGAACAGTTTGGCCTCGACGTTTGGCGGCGGGCCCGCAGGCGGCGGCGACGGCGCCTCCGCGTTGGTCAGCGCCGCGGGCGCAGGTGGCGGCGGCGGTGAGTCCACCGCCCCTGCCCCGCCCGCCCCCTGGACCGTCTGCAGCCCGCCAGCACGGGGGGGCACTCGAGGCCGCCCCTGCACTCCTCCCGCGGGCGAGGCTGCCGACGCCCAATTTGCGACGCGCCCCGTAGTTCAGCATGGCCACCCTCGCCTCTTCGAACTTCTCGCGCTTCATCCTGCCCCTGGTCTTCTTGCTGCAACCCGCCCAAACAGGGCCCTTGAGCCCCCGTGCTATCTGCGAGTAGATGTCGCGCCGGCTGCACTCAGGGATCGCCCCCCGCGCCATGTCGCTCGCCAATGCCCACTGGCCCTCCCATTCCTGC